GTTTATGGCCTGACGCTGACTCTGGGCACCACCGAGGGGTTTCACTGCTTTTTGCTGAGCAGCTGGGTAAAGGGACCGGACCAGAGCTCGGTTTAATGGACCGGCACAATAAGGAACCATCCTCTACGAGCAGATTGGCCCTTTAAAAGGAAGAAGCTTTGTGTAAGCTCAGTTGGAAGCACCACCACAGAAGAAACACCACACGCTAAATCAAACACATCAGAACGATGTTTGGTAGAGTGAAGCTCAGGCTGAGGGAGGTGAAGCTGCTGCTGCTCTTATTTTATTTCTGGCAGTGAAACAACTTGAGTGCGGTCTTTGTGTGATTCAGGGTTGTTACTCACCGAGCTCTCAGCGTGCTGACTGTAGACTTATCAATCCTACAGAGAGAGAGAGAGAGACACCGTTAACATGTGGTGCACTGAGCGCGCTCTGATAACAGCAGGAACGTTAGGAAGTTGCCGAGGTGGAGGACGAGATTTCTATCTGCATTCTCTATTAACCTCAGCAACCTGAGCGAGGTGTGAGCTCAGAGGTTCACAGCAATAAAACCTGTTTATTAAAGTGCTGCAGCGCCACCGACTCAGACGTGTTTCTGTAATGACGCTGAAGCGCAATAAAACAGCACAAAGCAGCAGACGCAGGAACCACTGGTGACTTCACAGAGTCTCAGATAATCTGGGATTCATTTCGTTTGGAAAATCAGAAATCAGAGAAAAACGTCCACAGTCTCCTCCCAGTTTAACTGAAACACGTCCAGCAGAGCTCTGCACCCCACAGAGAGCAGGAAACACGTTTATCTATTTAACACATTTGAATATTTACACTCAGAGGTGCTCTGATGTGTAGAAAGTGGGTTCCTGAGGCTACGTCCACACTAAACCGTTTTTGTTTAAAAACACCGTTTTGGCCTCCCGTCCACACTGAGGCGCCGTTTTCCTCAAGGAAAAACGAAGCATTTCGGAAACGCTCTTGAAAAACACATACATTTCAAAACGGAGCTGTCCCGTCGCAGTGTGGACACTCGAAAACGCAGACTTTCTAAAACAATGACGCATTTTAGTCAGCAGAGGGCGTTATGCAGCAGTTGTTTTGATTGGTCTCAGCTTTTACAGCCCTGTTACAGATTAATATCAGCCTGTCCGTGCTGCAGATAGCTTTCCTTCTAATTTAATTCTCACTGGCTTTTGCACGTGTGCAGGACTGCAACGTAAGTGTTTTGGACCGTTTCAATGTGGACGCACAACTCTGTGAAAACGCTAGTGTGGACGCGGAGCGCTTTCAGATGAAAACAGCGTTTTCAAATCTATTTGGGCTGGTGTGGACGTAGCCTGAGGCTCAGAGGTTTGGACGTCTCTCTGTCACCGACTGCGTTTCCATAAGTTCGACCTGAATCGCTGAGCTGCTCAGCCTCTCTCTTTGCCCCACTGCAAGGTGATCCAGGGACTTGTTTGGGCTGAGCACGCCCCCCTTCACCGGGCTCGGTCTCCTGAGACCACACACAGGTCTGACTGGAGGGTGGAGTCCAAACCACCCAGGCTGTGAAATAAGCGCTGTTCATCAGTACCTGCATCACACCTCACTCACACGGTGTCCTTGGAAGTACTGATGAAGAAGCATCCAGACGCTGCAGAGACATGACAGCAGACCTGTTTCCACTTTGTGATGCTGAGGAAACGTTTAGGTTCAGATTTGCTCTCACTACAGTTACGCTGCACGGATCGTCGCTGTCTCATGCATGCTGTAACGCAGGTCTGTCATACACGCCACGGCGCTCGTCGCTGATAGACTCTGACACTAGAGCAGGCGATATGACCAAAAATATTTATCACCATATATGTTTGAAAATTTGCAATAACGATATAATTGACACGAGACAAAACACAACTCCACAACTTTATTAGTGCAAAAACCCATCAGTGTATTTTCACTGAACCCTCCTGTTACGTTGGTTTGAAGGAACACTAATTATGTTCCTGGGTCAATCTGACCCGCAACATAACAGGAGGGTTAAACAAGCAGCTGTTT